GAGGACTGTATAAAGATTATATTTAAACGGCTGCCATTCAACAACTATCGATTTTTACATGATATTAACGTTTCAATCGAAGTAAGGATACATAGTTGAAATTGGATTATATTGCATTGTATTTTAGGTAGGTTTATAGACTAGCTATTGTCCACAACTTCGTCTGGACAGATGTGTTGAACCGTTGCGGAATTATCGAGTAAATATGAGTATCAAACGTTTCCTACGTAAACTGATTAAATTTCATCGTGACATGCTTCGCCATTCTGGAAGTACTTGTTATCAAATATCCATACATCCATTTATCTAAAATGTATTATAATATTAGTAAGTAGTAAAAATTATGATAGATATTGTCAGAATAATATTTGATATATTATTCGATTATCTGTTACATTTTTGAGAACTAAGAATAAGATAGAAGTTATAATAAATTTAATGTTATGCATAATTTGGAACAAGCAACATTTCCCTCCGACGATTAACAAAGGCCTCATAAAATGCAAATATTGACATCGCGCGCTACGACACGATGAAAATGCAAATTATTTATACATGGAATATTACTTTGAACAGCAAGTGTTACTTAGGAATAGTACTTTATTCATTTATTAACAAGTCATTACAAAGTGTTTCATGATGAAAATGAAAAGGAATAGAATAAGATACACGTGCTAAAAATATTATTGCCTAGCTGTAGCCCACGACTCCCGCGAAGTATATTAGTTAGTAGCCTGTGTCTTATTCCAGACTATATCCTATGTCTATGTCAAATTTCATCGCTATCTGTTCAGCCGTTCTGGAGATACCTCCAAACAAACATCCATTTATCCGTCTAAACATTCGCATTTATAATATTAGTTAGAAGTAAAATAGGACGCCCCTAAATACTAAACCAAGGTCAAATTCAATATGACGTAATGACGTGTTAAATGTCAAATGTTATCGATGTCGAAACGCATCAGGATGACGTCACGAAAATTTATGAAAGTATAAACGTCAGAGCGTTCACACAAACTGTTTGAATCCGCTCCGGCGAATTAAAGCCAGACTCATTCAGCGTCTCATATTAGCTTAATAAAAAATAATGTATGATTGCAATGCCCTTATTATGTTTAAGTACAGATTTAGGCCGGTTGCCAGATATAAAAGGCCTCCAATATTTACAGCGGTGCCGGATGTTCTGGCGCCGAAATCATTACAATGGAACCCAAAAGGAAACATATCTACGGAACTTTTACATTAACAGGCGAAAGCGAGAGCGGTTTAGCTGATGACTTGTTGCAGCTTTTCACACACAATTCTACTTTGATAGATAAACCGTTATAGGTAATATAAACCTATTTTAGATCTATCTCTCTCAAGGTTAAGAAGTCAGAGTTTTTGTTATACATCATAAGATGACAAACCAGCGACAGACCTCCTGAAATCACTGAAATAGTTAAACGTTGCCATACGCGATTGCAGATGCGTTGCCTATCTGTAATCGGCGAAGGAGGGAATGCACAGGAAGGGAATATTTTCCCTTCCCATGCATTCTCTCATCCACTTCCACTTCCCATCCTTCCCTTATAAGAAAAAGTCTATTTTATTTGTTACTCTTTATTTAAGTAAATAATGCGTCCATAACAAACAATTATAATCAATATGTAAATTTAATTCCGCTACAGTTTCCGCGATCGCCTATGTACTGTGACACAAGCCCGTAAGGAAGGGCATTAAAAGCGTAGTGCGCAATTGCTACGGCGTAGCGGCTACGACACAGTTAAGTCCAACTGTTTAGAGCCATTGGCTAAGTATACGACGCAGTTAGCTTGAATGGCACAGCGTTGACCTTTAGTGTTCAACTTATTAATATTTTCTCACGTAACACTGGGATTAGTACCATTAGATTGGTCCTTGGGTTCTTTATAATAGGGAGATTAAAACTACAACAAACTACTTAGTTTTGTATAATACATATAAGTATACATATAATAGTTTCATAAGTAAGCCTTACTTAAGTTATGTCTGAAATGTGCCAGAATTTATTTGTAATAATTAGTTAGGTAGTTTAATAAGAGAAAAAGATGAATTCGCAGCAAGAAGAGCAAATTAACAATTAAAATAATTGTGCTACATGTACATTTTAAACTTGAAAACTTACTTTCATTTACACATAACTATTGGGTTCTAAATTCATTACTGAAACTGAAAGATTTAGATTAGTTGATATGTTAGGGGAATTTATATCGATTCAATTAATTAACAACTACCTTTAATTTTTATAATAAAGTTGTGTATAAAGTATTATATAAGAATGTAAAATATTGAATAATTTTGCGGGAGACGTGACTACCATATTTGCACTAAAAGGCGGGTTTATTATGTGACGAAAGCTTAACGCCCTACTAACTTATTGGGTAAGAGGCGTATTTCGTGCGCACGGAATTTTGCACGCTTTGGTTGCTCTAAGAGTGGAATTACTAACTGCGAATATAACGAATACAAACAAAAATTATATAAAAAAATTTCAATGAGTACTAATAAAAACGTTTCCTGTAACATTTAATAAACCATTTTTATCTAATAACTTCTTAACTTTTCCCTTACAATATATTTTAAATCATGTAGAAAAATCACTCACTATTAATCCATAAAAATACGTTTTTTTTTTCTCTAAAAGCAAATGGCGCAGCAATACAATGCGATGGTTACAAAAAGTTTTAACAAAATAAACAAGCTCCTTTGTAAAGACATCGTTCATTTCACACAAGCGCGTCATCTCTAGACGGTTGAAGAGAAAATAAAAAGGCGGGAAAACAAAAGCGCCCAGCCAAGATGGCGAATTTATAATGGCCGACCCTTTTTACGGCTTTTCAGTAAAGTCAAAGAAACCGACGTTTTCCGCTTAAAAAATGGCTGTAAATTCCTTATGAAAATTTTCCGTTTTCAAACATTTCATTTGCAATACTTGAGTATACATCAAGTAATTATTTTACGAGTTTGTTTTCGTAGCTATTTGTTTCACATTTTATTAGGTTAACTGCCCAAATGGTCGAGTTCCGCGTACATTAGATAGATAAAACAAATCGTAAATTTACATTCATACAATTCTTGGCTTAATTAATTTATTATATATTCGTTTGTTATTCTTTAATACAATTTCAAGTTTACATAGTTTATTAATAACTATGTTTCTACACATTTCAGAATGTTTTAAAACATGATAATTTATTTAGTAGTTTTTAGTTCAGTGTATTTGAGTTCCATTGAAATATTATACTTTGATCAAATGCGATCAAGTTAATTAGAAAATACTAAAATATTTGTTACAAAACTAGCGCCTAAAAGTTCATTTTGCAAGTTGTATATTATAACTTTGCAAAGCATTAAATTGAAACTGCAGCTGTGTCTACACTGCATATAAGAATACTTGTTAAATTGATGTTTCAAAAAGCAAATCCTAACGTAAATAGCAAAAAGTATTGAATTGGATTCAATTTGTAAAACTACATATCGAAAGCTATTCATATTTCGTAGTCGTTAAGTGACTCCCTTAGTGCAGATTTAGTATGATAAATCAGCACTAAAAGTCTCCATCAGTGACCAATTCTGAATGTGGATGTAAGAATATTATGTCGACCGTATACTAGGCGCAGTCGCACATAATTCCCATAGTTGTACTCTCATTGTACACTGTGTACAAGTGTGTACAAGATGTACACAGCTCGCTGAGTCACGGCACACCACGAAGTACACGAACGTTTGACGCTTTACAATATACAATAGAAAATATTTACGTATTACTTCAATATACATCACTTGAAATACTGACGATAATTCAGGAATATCGCAAATGCTTTCAGCAATGCAACTAAGTTTATAGAAAACATGATTGTGACGTAAATGAGCCATACAGGAACAGAATAGCCTTATTTTTCGATCTCTTGGTCACTCTTAAAGAGACGGAGTTAAAAAATCCAGTAAGTGCGCGTTAAACAATTAAAACAACTTTTATTTTAATTATACAGATATTGTTTCGCGAAAGGATGCTGCGTAGTAGTGTGTAGTTCAGATTTCTGTCTTGAAATGTAATGACACATACGATTTTAGAAGATTACTAAAGAATTAAGTTAATAATGGTCTAATAGTCAACCTATCTTTTTAATCTGCAATAGTAAAGGTCATTGAAGAATTGTTTTCAATACAAGTATTTATACGTACCGATATTGGTAGGTACATTCAATGAAAACAATGAGAAATTTTCATTGAATGTTTCAATTAAATTTTTGATAAGCCACCGAAAGTTAAACAATTTCGTAGTTTTAATAGAAGCAAATCCTTTGTTCAACTCTTAGTAGATACTTGCCTAAGCAGACTACGGTTCGTTGTAACATCGCGTCTGGAATTCGCGAAAACTTGTAATTGCGACGCAATACTAAGGAACGATGGAGAACTTTATTTTATAAGGACCATTAAGTTAGACTGGAAAATTCGATAATTAAAATCTTGTGAGTAATTAATGGTATTTTCTAACTCATTTATATAATTAAGTCAACTTTTTGTGCGTAGTTTAATTGTATAAAATTGTTAATTTTTAAAATATAAAAATCCATCAACATTAACGTACTAAAAACTGGTACAAAATAGAACAATTGAGTCAGGCAAGAAACAGTTAATGTTACGTCCGCTTCAAAATTAGCTAAAGCTAAATGGAAACTATTTGGATAAGGCTAATGGCTGCATTATAAATAAGACGGTGAAACTCCTCGTGAAATAAACTATCCACATACTGGGTTAATGATATCAAAATAGACGTTAAATGAACAAACAATAAAACAATCACAACGAAAAAAAAACACCTTATTCTTTTTAGCGTAAGATATTTTCAGCGAAGTAGAATGCTGTAAAACACGTGAACTTTACATCGAAAAGCGTGTAAACTAAACAATGACAAACAAACACACATGCGAAAATAAACGTGAAGCGTATACATTTAAATATAAACGTAAATTCACCTGAAAATGTGGTTCTCACTGCGGCCAGCTTCGCACCGGCTGCATGACGAGATGAACAAGGCGCGGGCCGCAACGGGCAACTGTCAGATACACACACGTCTACACTCGACCGCGGGCGTGACGCGACTGGGACTGTCAGTGGGAATGGGATAGCCTCGCCCCAATCGATAGGACGTTACCCCGCGCCCGCCGTCCGCCCACACCCCGCGCTCGCCCACCACTCGCCGGCCATACAACAGGTTGCGTGCGTGCGCCGACCATTGGCCAGTAAACACCCCACATCGATGCACGAACGATGCAATTCCTTAGAAGTTTTCCACGATGAGAAAATTACTGCACGTCTCGTAGGAATTGTAGGGCATGTTTGTTATATATCGTAACTATAGATGAAACTGACGGAAAAGTACTGAAGCGATATAATAGCCGCAGCGACCGGCGATGACCCCAAAAGGTCGTCTGGAATCTTCGACTGCTCTCTTATTGTCTATAAAGTAATCGTTAAATGACTTGTTTTCAGTCTATTCAATCAGTTTCTATTCAGTTGTCATGAAGCTACGAACAATACATTCAAGCTTTTGAAGTATACAAAAATAGTAAATGATCTTCAATCACATGACCAAACCATATGGTTACCATTGTTCTGAGTCATCTCTGCTAGTACTATGTTTGCTAAGGTGCATGACACTTGGTGAACCTGGACATCCTACATGGCCAAAGAAATTAAATTTATGCTGCAGATATTTTTGTATATATTATTGTTGTTTATACAAAACGTTGTGTCCTGCATGCCATTCATTCTACAAATCAAATATTGTTAATATTCATTTACTATGCATCTGTAACGATCTCCTCTGTGTTAAATTCCTGTCAGATTAAGCTGTTATTTATTCATAATTTTGAGCATGCAACACTGAGGCAGATCACATGAATATTGCCAAGTTATCTATATAACATATGAGATTGTCTATTATAACTTATTATAAATAACTAGCTTTAGTCGACGACTTCATCCGCACGGGAATAAAAATAAAAACTAAGTTAGTAATCTTTATATAAATAATTCTTCTGTGAGTGTGTATGTCACTGAACTTCTCTCAAACAACTGGACCGATTTTGATGAAATTTTTTTTTGTGTGTGTTCAAGGGGATCTGGGAATGGTTTAGATTCACAATTTTCATCAAATATTAACTTCATAATAATTTATTCAAATTAAAGACAGGACAACGTCTGTTGGGTCCGCTAGTATTTATAATAAAATTTCATCCACATGCAGTTTCCAAAGTACCTTGTTACAAAAATCCATCCGTCCACCTAAACGTTCGCTTTTATAATGGAAAGACTGCTTACATTTTTACCTTTACTGCTTGTTTGGATAATCAAATTGGTTAATATCATTTAATAACGCAGTTTATATTCCCCTCAGTCAATTAACGTGGGATCGGTAAAGTTAAATGGAGTCAACGTTTTGTAAACGCATGACAGCGTCGGAACAAAGTTGACCTACTTAGTATTCGTGCATTTCGTTTACCTTAAAGTCGCGAGCTTTTGTGGTTTCACATTTCAGTATTAATTAGCCGCCTGAACCAAGAGCGAATTTAGAAGTCGACATCTTTGAAATTACGGAATACTTTGAAAGAGCGAAAGGAACGTTTTATCTTTCATTTGACCTTATTTTTTAGAATGTTGAATACTAAACCAAAGCCAATTAATTTTTACCCAGAATTAGTTTATTTAAAAGTTATTTATTTATCATTAAGGCGGATACGATTATGTTTCGTATAGCTTTAACATATGTTTTCTTAATTAAAATATATTTTAATAAACCCAATTGCCTTTTTGAAAAAAACCCACAACTCATAATGCATTGTGTATTTTATATCACATTCATTACTTATCCAAAATGTCAAGATTTCTTGATCAATTACTGGCACTTCTTTTCATAATTTTACTGAAGGCGGCGTGGATTATTAAAGTGGCAAAGTTATAAATAACGTTAACATATGTACTTAAAAATATGTTCTGAATTCCGTAATAAATAATGACTTAAAATTTGTTTTAAAAACCTTCTATACCATTATATAATACCATTGTATTACAATAAAAATAAGCGTCGGTGGCTCAAACGTTTAAGCACTTGACTTGTAATCTGCAGGTCCTGGGATCGAATCCCGCCATGTACCACTGTGTTTGTCGATACTCGATTAAGATATGTACATTTATCCGACGTTCTTACGGTGAAGGAAAATATCGTGATGCAACCTGCACATATCTGAGAAGAAATTCAAAGATATGTGTGATGTCAACCAACCTGCAATAGGCTAACGTGGTTGACTATGGACTAGTCACCCCTCACTTAGGGTAGGCTCCGAGCCCCTCGGTGGGGGCGTGTAGTGAGCTGATGATGATAACAATAAACTTAGTTGAATGTCAATCTAATAGTTAAATAATTCTAAAAAAGGAATGTTGGAGGTGCTGGGATTTGAACCCAGGACTTTCAGCTTGCGAAGCAGACACTACCACTGAGTTACGCCCCCTCGTTGAGTATACCATTAAGCTTGGTTGATGTGAGAATCACTTCATACGGATCTCATGCATAGGATCAAATGAGTAACTGACTTACAAAGAACTCGTCTGCGAATAGCTATTAAAATATTAAATTGAGGTATGCAATAATGAAATGCCATTAAATGTTCATCTTACAACAACAAAGACGAAGTTCCCAACAAAAGGAGCGGAACTCTACAACTGAAATGGAACATGACGTCTCAAGTTTTACAAAGTTTCTGTCATACTTTGAAATGGGTTATTACGAACTCTAGCCCTTGTACGCTTTTATATTTTTGGTATCGAAAATATAATAATATTTAAAAAAAGACGATGTATGATGTTGCTTATATCTAAAGGTAAAAGGGTGGGTTTCCATTGTCGACACACTTATAAAACATTATTTTTCCTATCATTCTATTTGCAAAAAACCGACATAAAGTATCACAAGCGTCACGGCAACGGAATTACACTGTAAATGCTAACTCCATTGGGATTTAACTATAATAACGTGAAAGGTATTTTCTATATGAAAAGCAGCTAGTTTTTATTGTTTATTGCAATTTAAGCACTATCTCAACTAATTAAGTTCGATATTCCCTTAATCTTATTAAAGATGTGGTAGTATTCCACACAGTTGGCTGACTATTCATGTATATGCATAGATTCTCTTTGACAGTCGCTTGTCACAGCTGCCTTCAAAGGGTTGTATGCACTCAATCAACTCGTTACATCTACTAAAGCATTAATAAATTAATTAAAAGGATTATTTTAAATTAAGAAATGATAATCTGTTAGTCCTAAGTACAATAATTTAACCTAATAAGTAAACTTGGAGAGCTTTAAAATATCATTGTAGTTAGATATTTGAAGATATAAGTCAAAATAATATTTATCCGAAGAAGTCTTTCCTTAAAAATTACTTCAAACTCTAATCAGATTTTAACTTAGTCATTCTGATTTGACTTATAATGAACTAGCTGTCTCCCACCTCTCCGTCCGCGCGGAATTAAATAAAAACTTAATAAGAAGCTGATGTGTTCTTGAAGACTATGTCCTACATCTGTGCCAACTTTCATCAAAATCCGTTGAGTCGTTCCAGAGATTACTTTCAAACAAACATCCATCCATCTAAACTTTCGCATTTATAATATTAGTAAGATTAAACGGTAAGATTATGTTACAAGAAACAAGATCACAAGATGATTTTTATCTGTAACAGTTGCTAAACTTTCGATGGCTACTCATCTGAGGTCACGTACGCACTTACTTCAGTTCAGGAGCACTTAAGGTCAAGTTACGACGGACGTCCGCTGAATAAGTTGCGTTTTATTTCTTTTCCGGGTCGAAATAAACTATTTTGATAAATATTAAACACACACACGTTTCTTCTTTGTGTTTGCGTACAGTACAAGGCATGGGAACTTTATTTAATTCTAATACCTACCATCTCTTAACATTTTTATACTTAACAAATTGAATCTACGTTCTCAACCATTTATTAGCGTTCTTCCTGTCGCCCGCGGTTCCGACTGTGCATAGTAAAAAAAAATCTTAATTAGTAATCTATGTGTTCTTCTAGACTATATTCTACATTTACGTCAAATTTCAGTAAGATCCGTTTAGTCATTCTGGAGATACATACCTTCTAACAAAGATCCATCCATCCATCTAATTTTCGCATTTAAAATATTAGCAAGATTTCTCACTATTTTTTATGAACTAAGAAATTTATTCGACAGAAAATTCATTTATAGACTGTTTTTTTACCAGGTTATGTTTTAAATTGTATTTATATTTAAATTATTAGTGTTATTGGTTACCAATATTTTGAGTAGTTACTTTACTCTGCCACAAATTTAACAGTAATGTTTTTTAGTTAAAATTTAAGTAACCACTATAAGTACTAAGGTGTTTGTAACGAGATATAACTGATACTCAGAGTTTGTTACTTCATACACAGAAACTACTTAACTATTAATCTTTGAGGACTACGTATAAGTTAGTCAGTCATGTTTTATTCCAATCAGAGAAGCAATTTTCTTTTAATTTAGTTTATTAGAATTCGGCTCCCCCGTGTTCGTCTCTCTGAGTGCAATTAATATCAATTTCCGCGTCAGGGCTATCACAAGTACAATGAACGAGGGACGAGAGCAAATTACTAAATCCTACGAAAATACTTGGTTTTTAGTGAGGTTTGTGACATAGAAAGACGGCAGACGGATAATAATTTGTGATATCAAACTGACCAAAGTAATACTTACGAGAAATAAACTTTCGCGAATACGAAAAATCCTTGTTAAGAGAAAAATGAACAACCTCTTGATAAAAGCGGTCCTTAAACTGTACTTAAGCGACACTTCCGCTAAGCAGTACTTAAATTTTCACAACTGCCATCAATTTAAATAATAAAGAGCAGTACTCATTCCAAAAAAGTAATTTTTGTCAAGAGCTCTGAGATATATATTTTATACAAATCTAAACTAAATTCGGAAAAATTAGGTAATGGTTGACTGTTAACATACAAAAAAAGCTAAAGGAAAAGAAAATAAACCTTCAATTTTCTTGATGCCATTTATTCTATACATTTGATATACTGTGTACATTTGAAACAAGCTTTTTTACAAAATAAACTTAATTATCTTAATATCCACATTATTTTTGTAACTGAGTTCTAATACTAAAGTAATATTGTTGTATCAGCTGTCTTTCTTCCGTGTGAACAGCGCTGTGAACTTACCCGCCTCGTATGTCGGCATGAACGGTAAATATGATGTCCATTTCCATCTGAAATATTTCATAATTTTCAATAAATATTATAAAAACATAAGTAGCAAAAATTGGCACATAATATTCAGCTGTACAGTGTACCTGCGCACGAGCGACATGCCGACGGGGAAGTCGTAAGTGTCGCCGAGCTCGCTGGCGCCCGCAGCCTCCAGCGACATCTCCTTGGCCCAGGCCTTCAGCCCGCGCTCTTCTTCCGTACCTTTAAAAAACACAATTTTAAATATCTTAGTTTAAAAGATAAAGTACCAAGTAATGAAAAACAGCAGCCTAACAAACCAGGTATCAGATTATCAAGTAGACAGCCAACAATCCCGCCAACTAGGATAGAAGTGGACAGCAGCACTTGCAGCACCGCGTCCAGCGCCTCCACGCCAGTGTCAATGATGCCGCTGTGAGCTGACATCCAGCGCGTCAACACTAGCGGGAAGAACAGGCTGAATCCGATGATGTACAGGTTGCGAGAGCTGTTCAGGTCCACGTACTGCAGTGCCGATAGACCTGGTAATATAGAGAGTTAGGTATGAAAAACAATTGAACAGTGAGCGTATGACAGAACTTACCTGATCAGAAAACTATTATGACTTTGTAGAAGATAAGCAAAAAGCGAAAGGAGGCTTGGTAGTTTGACATTTCTATCTACAGGAGCTGTAGTAGTGCTTACCAAAAGCGGAGATCATGCCGAACATGACACAGAAGAGGCCGCCGACGACTGGCTGCGGAATGATAATGAAGACGGCGCACAGTTTGCCCACTAGACCCTGCAACACCATCAGTGCCGCCGCCCACTGGACCACGCGTCGCGAACCTACCTAAGCCACACAAAGGATTTATCAGTATTAGTTTAAGAAGCAGGGAATTTCTTATTAATATATTTTTAGAGCTTGACAAGCAGTCAATGGATTGCTTACTTTAGTAACTCCGATAGCGCCGACGTTTTCGCCGAAGGTGTTGGTACCGTTCCCGGAGCCCCAGAGCCCCGCCAGCATGGTGCCCAGCCCCTCTGTGCCCAGCCCGCGGTTGATGGCGTGCAGGGGAGGCGGAGGAGCCGCTGCGAATATACGAACAAACTAACAAATCCATGGTTACTTCTAGCAGATGAACTAAAACTATAATAATAAACAGAGGACAGATACTTAAGAGTTTTGAACTCACACAATGCTTTAGAAAGCAAAGCGAAGCATGCAATGTTTTGTGTGTCATTTGTACACAAACATCGCAACCTCTGATATAACCAGGTAAGGTAAATTAATAAAATTCTTGACGTAATTTTATCTATGATGAATATGGTCTACTCTGTGTAACCTGTCTCCTCGGTATACTGACCGCACATCCTGGCGGTGGTGGGGTAGTAGCTGATAGACTCCACAGTGCAGGCCAACACGCCCGCCAACATGCCCAGCACGCCAGCCACACTCACTGTCGGGCGACCCCACTGACCTGAGGTGAAAAAGTACAATAAGCTGCATAATATGTTTACATCTATTAAATTTTACACACTTGTATACGTCTTCGTTTACAAAAAAACATTTGCGCGTATTTGTGAAAAGCATGTATTCATAGTCGTAAACACACGGAGGGATTTCTTCAGTTGACTGTACAAAACTGCTGATTTCCTGGTTGGTTTTCTTCTGTAACATTTTTATTAAGCTTAAAATATAACCTTTGAAAGACCAAGTTGTTCACGTATAAAATATTGTACTCAATCGAAGCTCAAACACGAATGGTTGATCTTACTGCTTAAGTATATATTTCATATGATGATGCACCTGGATATGGTATCCTGAACCATGGCGCGTCTCGTATGATGTTGAGTTTGAGGTCTGTGCGCGCGGGATGTCCCGCCGGGAACACGTCCGTGGCTGTCAGCACTCCGCACACCGACCACATCAGTACTATCGTCAGCAACACCTTAAAACATTCGTTTCAATCTTTGTTTGGATTTCTAACTTTAAAATGTTGTAAAAAATTAATAATACTACGTAATATTTTAGAATTCTTAAATCAAAATAGTGTAGCAATTTAAATCCCGGGAATAAAGGATAAAACGGAACGTATCTCTAAACGAAAAGGATAGTTGTATACGCAAGACAGAGATAAAAACAATATCGCCAATATGGAATCCATATCATTGAAAAAATGTTGCTTTTGCGTAAAATTGTTTAAAAATTTTGTTTAAGTTACATTTAGAATGAAATTATAGTTTAAATTTTAATGTTTATATCCTATAACTAACTGTCCATTATTAACAATCATTAAATAAACTCACTGGGAACAATTTAAACAGTGGGAACCATATGACGCTGAGTCCGGAGCCGCGCTTGTAGGATAGTGTAGGTATCTTGACGTCGGTCATGCATTGTGAGAATATCGTCAGCAGTGTGAACGTCCTGAAAAAACGAATACGTTATAGACTATTATAAAATATGCATGGATTGATGGATAAGTGTCTCTGCTGCAAAACAAAATGTACTTTTTCTCAAAACGTGCTTCGTATTATTCTAAAACAAGTATTAAGTTTGGTATAGAAGGGACGAGGTTGGATAGTACCAGATGGGCGAATGCGCAATGCGAATGGGCAAGTGCGCTTTCACCTTTAATTTAGAATTCTATTATTTATGAATTGTGGAATTTCAAAAAATAATACATTTTGTAACCTTAATGAGTTTCAGAACAAATTACCTAAAAAATAAAATAAAAATTATATGTTTTAATACAGGTTTTTTGACAGTGGAATCTCACCCTTACGGACGCACAAACGGGGCATGGAATTGCATTATCCGATTCAAAGCACACTGCCCGACAAGGCTCGGACATCCGTGGAGCGTTGGTTTTCATTGGAGAGCCTTTGTCGTGTCATTGTCAGCACACAAAGGGTACACAATGCCGCCCCGGACAAGGGATGCCAGGCAGACGTATTATTGAATAAAATTGTATAAAATAGTCCCGAAACACTTATTTCTTATTTTTCTTTACACTTAAAAGACAAGTGAAAAAAAAGTAAAAGCTTTAATATATGGACATTTCGATCGTTCTTTGATCATGAAGTTTTACATACGTAGCATTTAAAAAATCAAGAGGAAAACTTGATTTTATTAATAGAGACAAGTAGTTTGTATGAATAGACTTGCTACAAACTAAGCGCTGTATAGAAGTAGTTTTACCGGCAGACTTTTCCAGCAACTTATTTCTGTACACCGGTGTGCTTTTTTTTAACCTACTAACCTACTAACTACTTGTCTATTCCACATTATAAACGCTGTCAATATTTAAGAAAACTATTAAATTGAAAGTTATTAAATAATATTGTATACTAAGCTATATTATTATATTATTTTATGTTTGTTAGTAATAATACCTCATATCTTTAAACTTTTAAGACGGAGAAATATATAACTGGTTGTCAATTTACAATAACATCTAACTATGTAAAGCCCATTGTAGAATTTTTAACCTTTTACTAATTATCATGGTATTGGTCGATATTTGACTTGGCACATCGTAAACATGAGTATTATTTTACTCGATGTGCCAACTCTAGCGATGTACCTAGGCATAAAGCGGGAATTCATTCGTTGCAGATAAAAGCATTGTTTGTGTACAATGGTATACTGACCAAAGCCATGACATAACCGCGTTTCAAAGGAATTCATTGGACGGACAGACGGGAAATTCAGAATTCCCACTCACAATGTGTTATGACGAAAAATAAGCTATACACCTTTGTATTTTTAGGATTTACGGGTATTTCCCGTTGAGCCGATCAGCCTACCTATTTATCGGCCAAATGGGATATTTTCCTAATTGGGTTGATCGATTCCATAGTTGTGATGCGAACTTTTTCTAGTTGTGCCGAATAAAAGTAAGTTGTAGTTAAGGAGAAAGTGGATTAAAATTTATGCCCCTAACCAATGGGGGGTGTAACTCAGCGGTAGAGTGTCTGCTTCGCATGCTGAAAGTCCTGGGTTCAAATCCCAGCACCTCCAAATAAAATTTTTTGGAGTATATTATTTGTTATCTAAAATATGCATATTGATACTATAGTACTGATTATAAAATTTATAATAATATGATTTATTTTGTCGACAGTGAAAAATTTCTTTATCTTAAATCCCCAATAAAGTTTAAGAATTAAATGTTTGGTAGATGTGACATCTTTTATGATTAGAAAAATAGACAGCAAATCAGATAACTCATAACTTAAAATTTAAATAGAAAAATATCTAAAAAGGTTTTTAATAACTCCGCGCTGTTTTAAACATGACAAACTCCGAATAAACGAAACGTAACAAAGATTTCTTGAAAACTGTAAATGCTTTTAATCCACGCTTTGAAACTAAGACGGAGGAAGACAATTAGAACTTCAAAAAGTGTCAAAAGTTTTAAAACAAACTCGAAGTGTCGGAAGAACAAACTTCCGATGTAATTAAAAATCTTACATTTCATTTTACTTTAACCCAATGGAACCAGCTGTTGCACACGGTTTTACACGGGGTTTGCAAGATTATTTCAAAAAGATGTTGTCTTAACTATTTTGCTAAACAATGACTAAGTAGCAATTAATGGCCACCTTAAAAAAAAGGTATAAGTACTGTAAGCCATTTTCCACAAAAGATGAATAGATATTTTAGCGCCATATTAAATAAACTTCCAGACAAAGAACATAAAGTAAATCTAATGTTATCGCTCCGTCCGCCTATTGCCAGGGCAACAGCAATTTCCAGGTTATATCGGGGCTGGATATAGGTCACGATGCAAAATCCAATAAAGCCCGTACGGACGCATCCGGGATGCAGATGGAATCGATACAGCGCGGACTTGTTGCGAGGGCGCCGACCCGGTTGCTATGGCGACGCCAATTCCACCCGGCCTATGTGCCCCTGGTACTTCTTGACTTGGAGGGATATTTTAAGAAAGGGTTCAATTTGGAAAGATATTTTCTTACGACAAGTTACTGAAAGCAGTTATCGTTGTCATGGCAGATTTTACCTAATACACCAGCTGCATTACTAAACGGTTGTAATTTGGAAAAAAAAGAAAAAAAAATATTTATATAAAAAGTTTGCTTCGGCATTAGCAAAACTTATTTGTAGTAATTTTTGCTAAAATGCTTTAGGTAGGATGCTATTTACGATCAATTTGATGTGATGTTTAAATTGCTTAATTAAGATATATCAGTTGGCCTATAACATAATATGTTAAATTAAAGAATAAATTTTTCACTTTAATAATAAAGGTTGCGTACGTAAGTTTATTATTTTACAGCAGCAAGATCCTTTTAACGTAGACAATATAAGTTAAAATTAGATCAAAGAAGGTAAATTATAAAATAAAAAATAAAAACTATAATAATAGGTCATGTATGCGTATTATTATATCGTTATATATATTATGGGTGATAAAATCAATAGAGCTACGGCGTGCGGTCGTTGACCCCCCGACCTTTCGGCCCCGGTGCCATGCGCGTCATAAATAAGGCTCGTTCCCGGATTCCACCTGTACACATATGCACCTGTACACTCGCTTTTCCCTTTTTTTCACAAAAATATATGAACTTTTTGACTGAGTGGCAGGGAATTGAAATATTCACTATTACACTGAAATTGTTTATAGACTTTTTAGTAGTAAGAAATTTAAATATAGAAGATATAGGGTAAGTGGTGGCTTAGAAGCCATGTTTAAAAAAATGTACTTTATTTACAGTCTAATAATTACTTATGTCAAATGCATAGAAATAAGTAATTACAAATAGAGTTTAGTAACTTATAATTTTGGTAACGTATGTAGTAGGTTGTTCTACGCTGTTCGCTGCGTGAGTGTTTTTGCATTAATTTGTTATTGAAAATGTGTTTTTATTTTAATTGCTAATTAACTGTAGTTAAGTGAGCTCCCTCACCATCATTTGCACATATTAAAGACAATAATACTACTTCGTAATATAAAAGTTATTCTTCTATTGTTTTACAACATTTTAAGCGCCTCACATTTTTATCATCGTTATAATGAGATGTACTTGCCTTGTCTATTTAGATATGATAAGGTTATTATTTTGTATCTGCATATATGTTTTGTTACAACATAATTTTATGTCCTAATTGCTGATTGTAGGTAAATCAGATTCAGTAAATTAAGGCTAACTATGCCCATGTATCATAACCTAGGAGCTTGATAACCAGATTGACTAAGGTCAGTGCCGTCAGCGGGCTGATATTGTTAACTCCCGCCCGCCCTACCCCCCGCAGTTCTGCCGCCCCGCCGCCCCGCCGCACCGCGTGCAGTGCGGGAGCAATGACCTCCAATGACCCCACAGTGCAAGTTTTTAGTTCATATAACTACAAAAGTTGTTATATTTGATGTCCTTACAGTACAGTTCTTAATCAATTAACAAAAACACATTAAGCTAAATAAGCCGACCATGGCTACTTATGAACGCGATAAATTATCAGATGAATGCGTTGCTAATCGTTATTTAAGAATAATAAATAAAGTTTACCCTGCGGCGATGCCCCACTGCTGGGCGGCGGCCTCAGCGGCGTGGTCGAACAGAGTGAGGCCCACTAGCGCCACCGTGGGCGCTATCGTCAACGGCGTCACGAATCGCAGCAACGATCCGATAATGCCAAAATAACCTGCACGAACAATTAGATATTTTATGTAAAATCCTTTTTCCACTAAGAAGCTTCACACACGCAAGTGGAAAACGTGTCATATTTCACTCTAAATTAGTATTTTACTTTCTTTTGTTTATCTTTTGTGCAGCGAGGCCGTAATAAGATCATAAAAATTTAGTGATAAATAATAAGCTGAAGTGCTCTATCGTGTACTAGAATCGTTAATTGATCACTAAGAGATATCCTTAGTGTACATATCTTACGCTAAGTTACACTAAGGGAACATAGTCCATGCGTCACTGTAACGAAAAACTTTTACCACAAAACAGTTGAAACAGCGCGGAAACGGCGATAGCGCCAGAAAGTTCACACATCCGAGTGGTCCAGACGTGTCTTCTCTCCAGTTCTGTCATGGCTTCCAATTGGTGCGGCTCCGGGCAGCGCCACGCCGGCAGCCCCAGGATGGCCAGCGTCGGTACCAGGAAGGATATCGTACCACCTTGGACTATAGGCAGCCGACATCCGAATGTGCATTGTAGCCATGTTATTAAACCTACACAAAATATAACCATATGTTATGATAACTACCTTTTACCCGCGACTCCCACTGCGCAGAACGGAAAAAAAACTAAGTAATTAAAGTAGACTTTGTCTTCTTCCAGACTTTGTTCTACATGTATGTCAAATTGAAATACGAAGCAAAATTCAATGCAAGTAGTCATCGGGGGTGTAACTCAGCGGTAGAGTGTCTGCTTCGCATGCTGAAAGTCCTGGGTTCAAATCCCAGCACCTCCACATTACATTTTTTTTCATTTGTATTTAATTTATTTTAGTTTTTACATTTTTTAATAAAAATGATACAGGTTATTGATAAACTCACTTAAAAACTAAATTATTATCAAGTGAAAGTAAATGTAACCGTAGTTTATCTTTGGAAGCAAAACTAACTACAATATTTGACACTAATCTATTTACTTCCTTTGTTAGTCTGAGTACAGATAAAAAAATAATTCGAATATTAATTAGCTAATTGCACGTTGTTGTTTAGATAAAAAGGATTTATTAAATTCTATTAAAACATCATTTAACTGATAACTGATAAGTAGGTAAACAAGGAAACACGTGTAGTGGCTTTATTGTGGACTAGTGCTCGCCCGCGACTTCGTCACAGTTTACAAAAAATTACAGTACAAAATGTTTTTTTTCTCTATTGCATACAAACTCTTCAATTTTAATAACATGTATAGATTATTAAATGGTTTATATATGTACTTAACTAAACGACGTTGTTCTCTGTGACCGTTAGTTTCCACTGTCGTAAAAAATATTTAAAAACATACTATCATATCTCTAATCCATGCAAAAATATTAATATTTGGAGGTGCTGGGATTTGAACCCAGGACTTTCAGCATGCGAAGCAGACACTCTACCGCTGAGTTACACCCCCGATGAAAGCTCCTCTCAAAGTATGCTATTTAATTAAATAAAAAAAAATCAAGATATAAAATCATTTCAAATTTTTAATTACCAGCAAGATTGGTAGGTTTCGTGGATATACAAATGGCACGAATCAACTATGCAAATATTTACACAGCAAACTAAACCTTTTCATCATAAACCACCACTCAGTTGTATTACATTTTAATAACAATATTTCTGGATAACTAATATATCAATTTATTTAAATTAAAACTAAGAACAGACAACAATTGATGAAACAGCAATAAGAAGTAGGTCTATTACACGTTATCTCAAACTAGTCTTGATATTAAGTGAAAGTTGTTCTCAACTTGTTATTTTTAATACCTTTCTTTAATCTCTTGTCTACATCGCGGGTGTAACTCAGTGGTAGAGTGTCTGCTTCGCATGCTGAAAGTCCTGGGTTTAAATCCCAGCACCTCCAAAGATATTTTTTATATTGTGTATAGTGTACAATGTTATCCAATTTTTTTCATTAAAATTTAAGTATATCACAGCGCCGGTTAGTGCCAAATGTTTAATTTAAAGAATTGTTATTTTTTATAATTTACCGTTTGAATAATTCACATTTATAATAGTTATGGTAGATAATTATGTTGTACAATAATCATTAAAACGTTGATAACATGTCCCGTGGGAGACAACTTACGGCTCTTGCATTATGATATTAAGTTAATAATACAAAAGTATTTTTGCTTCAATATTGATTAAAGTTATAACTACGTATTTTCAAATTTAAAGAATATTTAGTACTATTTAAGAACTAAAATAATGTTTTCCATAATTTTCAAGTGTTCAAGGTTTGGTAACTATATATTTAAATGCATTGTCATTGAGCGTGACTAATTCAACTAAAGGCCAACATTCTTACGGTGCTATAACTGTCGGAATTTGTATAGAAACATGTTGTTCAACACGTTTTTGAACGACTGTTTTGGCAGCGGAAACATCAATTGTAACGTAATCTTGACTGTATAAAGAATTGGAGTAACGTATGTGTAATTTGTTTCAGTTTTGGACATTGTTTTAAGTTATTTCTAGCCATCTATTATCATTTAACTAACGTGAAAATCTTTTGTACTTTTCATGTTATTTTGCTAACAGTGGGTTTCTGACGTCAAAATCTCTGCATAAAGTATATCGTTATCCCTGTCTTTCATCTTTGACAAAACAAAGATAACAATATATTTTAAATTAAGACTCAGAAACCTATGGTAAGTCTACTAAATGTAACCAAACATAACTTAGAACTTAGTTTCGTGGGCGCATTCATTTCCTTAATTATACATTCCATTGACGTCAAAGGAAATGCCTCGGGATTAGACATTGCGCAACCGGCCAACCTTTGATGTGAGACGAGGGTATGAATGACATAAAGGTTAGTACCAAGTCTCGAAAACTAGATGTTTTAATAACTACCAACAGTATTACTTCCTTTTACGTCCATGATCTACAGATTATGTGAGCAGAAATCACTTACTACAGATTAAAAAAAATTCTTTCCTCAAATTATATAGCTTTGAAACAAGGATCTATATAATAAATAAAATTGTAGTATCTGTATGTATGTAATATAAAAAAAATCGTGTTTATGCATTGCGTTGTCAATTTAAATTATTTTTCTGTCTGTACGTCTGTCCCCAAATCTGTGTTTGTTCCGAGTAATCTCTGAAACGGTTTCCATAATATTTGTGGTGAAAAAATCGGAGTACCGATGTAACACATAAAACAAAAAAAATGTCGAATTGATCCTTTTATTCTATGTTGGCTAAATAGATAATTTCTACTCGAACCAACGCGTAACTAGACGTCGTGATAAGTGATAACAAAATTACTATTCTAACAGCCCAGAGGCTGTATATCCCTCCTTATTCTGATAAGGTATCGTTGTATGTAAACATAGAATAAAATAAAGCCTTGGTACATTAATCTGAGCTTGTTTATCAACATACAAATCTGTACATTATTCTGTGATGTATTTATTACTCTACACGAATGTTACATGAGAAATACTTCTGTCGTTTAAATCTCTAATTTCAGTGACATTTATACACTCAGAGTCATTTACTAGTTACTTAATAGTGGCCATTAAGACTCTGAGTACAGCAGTAAGTGTTCATAAAACTTCTACTTACGTTTCATTGAAAATGGAACTAAAATGATCACTTGGAGGTTTTTATTGTCACATAAATATACTACTTTTAAATGGCGAAACACAATTACAAAAACACGTTTATTATCTCGTTTTTTTAAAGGATAATAAAAGGGATCGCAATATGTTTTAATACAAGTATTTTATCAAAGTAAACCCACGGAAATTTACTATGCCTGGATACAAAGTAATCTGTGTACTCGTATGTGTATAAATGTGTTTTTGACGTACAGACATACTTACCAGTAACAAATATCATAGTGGAGATGATGTTAGAGCGGTCAGGGTCAGTCTCCTCCATGCATAGCGCTGGGCACAGGATGAATGGAATCGCAACAATCGCTCCGATCATCGTCAGGTAATGCTGTGTATAAAGAGCCTGTGTGAGTTTACTACTAGATTTACTGTGGGTTTCTGAGACAAAAAAGAATTGAAAGTAAACTTAAGAAGAATTTAAGAAAAAGAATTTATTTTTATCATCATGTTTTTTTTATCTTCATCTTTATTGCTCTCCTTGAGATAAGAAAAACGACAATACAATGTTTATTAAAATTAGCATTCGTCCTAATTTTTAAACAACTTCAAAGACTTGATTCTGAAGTCTTTTTTATCTTTGCAACCTTAGAACTTCATTCCTGGTTGAGCGATTTTGATGATTCTTTCTTTATTTTAAAGCTATTGTCTGTAGTACGGATTAGCATTAGTCACCTGCAGTGCCATGAAAATGCAGAGGTACCATGGTGGCGTGTCATCGATGCCGTACGTCACGTTACCTTTGCGCTCCTCTCCCTCCTTCTCAGGCAGCACATCTTCCCCATTCTGAATACAACGGGACAAAATCTTATGTACTTTTTAATTCCACGATAATATTATACATATATCAAATATTCTCAATAATAAATATTTATCTACTTGAAGTCACAAATCGACTAATCCATTTGTTAACTTTGTAAGTGATGGAGAAGTTCAATATTATTTAATTCCACTATTGTTACTGGCAGGTCGTAAAAGAAGACTAATTAAAAGATTAAAACGTACTGGCAGCTTACATTTCGTTATAGCGTTTAGAATTGAGAATAGTGCCATCTAATTAAATAAAAAGCAAATGTGTAATGAGTGATTTTTGAAATATGGTCAATTATTCACAGTCGCGAAAGTAATGTTCCGTTAATGTGATACCGAAATATTTTGACCTCAATACGGAATTCCCTTTCCTTTTTTTCTTTGCGAACTTTGACCGCAATTAACAGGATAGCGTATAAGGTGATTTTATTTTATGATATTCATATTAACTTTGATATGCAATATTGTAGCTGCATGACTAGTGATTAATAACCAACAATAATAATAATAACGCTATGATTAACATACCATGATAAAATCAAGTATCGTTTACATAAGTTGATTACATAAGAATAAAACGTACTGTAATCAACTTGTATTTTACCATTACTTGACATAAAATGTATATGGAAATAAAAGAGCACATATTAAATAAAGCGACCATGATTATCTCTATGCAAATAGTTAGTACAAAATAGTATTAAAGTGTTACAGTGTAGTATTTATTAAAAATAATTATTTTATAAAACTAAGTAACGACACTAATGAAAATAAAAACGGTCGCTATTCAGTCAAGTGCAGGAATTCTGAAGGTCGAATCACTTAACTTATTCAAGCGATGATGTCTTTACTTTATTAATTAGAGGTTATGTGTCAATTGTTACGTTTACCTATATAATCAAACAAGGATATCAGAACCGGTGCAAGAGACGCTGCTATCGCGGTTTCTGTCAGATTATATATGAAACCTATTTAGACAGGGAAAATGCCATAAAACCATTAAAGAAAAAAATAACATGACAGCTACAGTACAAGAGGATATTGTCACATGTTTTGAATTTCACTGGGAGGCGCTAGTGAGCTGTCATATATTAATTTGATTTATGTCCACCGCTTAGTATCCTTATCGGTCTATATATATTTCCGTTCAAGTAATTAATCACCACATGTCAATTAAATACCGATCCATATCTAGTTATGATAAAATAAATCATGAAATATTAATATACATGAAAATAACATTCTTATTGAGGTTAATTGTACACAAAAAAAAGTTTCTTAAAATTAAAAATAACTAATTTCCCCAGTCAGCAACCAGGATGTCTTCAGTTAGTCCAGGAGATATCAGAAGGCTATATTCATTTCTTATTGAAAAAAATAAGATTTCGGTAAGAGAATAGGAGGAGAAAGTGAATTTGACAGAAGTGTGGATAAACAGGAAATGGAAATAACCTTTTCTGTACGTCATATCTTCTGATCAGTAATTGCAAAACTAGTTGCAAATGTGGGAGTATTCACTATATTAGCGGAATACGGTGACCACTTAGTTGTTTACAATATTCGACTAAAACACACTAGCTGTCGTAATTTACTCCGTCCGAGCGGAATTAAAAAAACCTAATTTGTGCCTATGTGTTCTTCCAGACTAGGTTCATCCCGTTATCCATCTATCCAAACATTTGCATTTATAATATTAGTTAGATATTAAAATTATTAATATTAACATTGGTTTAAATTATTTATTTATAACAAGGGTAATAACCGTAGACTTATAAATGGCTGTACTTTAATTTATTATATTTATGTTATTGTTACTTATTAGCTAAGTCTACCATTTAATAAATAAATAAATAAATATCTAATTGTTGTAGAATATAATCCTATTAATATATGTATCTTATGATTTCTTACCGTGTTAACAACTGAGTACACCCACTTTACAGACATTTTTATATGCTACACTAGAACATTTGATTTCTTTAACTAAGTTCTATGCTAATTTCACTTCCAACACATATGTTTCAAATTACAATATGTTTTGTTAACTCAACCAAAATAATTTGCGTGCTGAATGTTTTGTAAATCAAGTAAACGAGCTAACGTTGCAAAACGTGATATCTTCGATAAAAATAAATCTGTTTTATTTTATCGAATTGTGATTCCATATCAAAGTAAAATGCTTTAAGTAAAAGTAATATTTGGATTAGAAAAAACTCAAACATGCATTCAATAGGTTTTGTTTTGAAATGAAATAATGGTCGATTTTACTTACAGGCTTTTACGCATCAACTGCCTCACCCGGAGACGTTACTAAGCATTCTCTTATTGTAGATATTTCGCGTTTCATCAGTTAAGTGTGCGCGCCTAATTTTCGTCCTCTTTTTCTTCCTGCTCTTTTTTCAGGGATGGGAACTGATCGTGGATTTAACGGTGGACCCATACGAAGGGGACTTATTCTCACACAATGCGTGGCCTCCTCTGTTAATTAAAGGTAGGGATCACTTCGCCATTTTGGCGAATTTAGATGTCCGCTTTATTTCGTTTTCCATCTTATACTATAAAAAACTATACTAAATCTATGCTTGAGGGTGTGTTCAAAGATCTTGTTCTCTAACGGTCAACCTAACCGTGTCTAAATTGAGCGCCAGTTGCCTAATGGTTAGAAATACGGATTACCGGTCTTGTGGTTTTGGGTTCGAATCCGCGGTTTAACTATTGTTAAGGACACGAAATCTTCAAATCATGTTAGTGATTGTTTTTGTTCCACTTTTAAAAAGAAGCTGTTTTGGTTTTACTGACACACAACCGAATCGGCTTATCTCAAATATTACTTACCAAATCTCTCAACACGTGGTCAAGGCCTATCGTTATATTATTGTGGACCATTTTGAAACTGAAACAAACAAATGAATCTAATCTGTAACTGTCAGAAATTCGTCCACCTTTTTTTCTTTTATTTTGAATATTTAAAATTTTACAAAATAAAATTTGTCTAAGGTTTCATTTCAAAACATCTCAATTATTCGTGTTCGTATTTTCAATATTCATGATGGAGATATAATTATAACAATCTTCAACAAATTACAAGCAATTGAGAGATCATTTGCATTAAGTAACGCACACGCATATCAATTGAACTTCTAACATAACCGCCTTTATTATAAAGTAATAACTAAATAACTCTTATAACATTCTAATGTACTTAACACGATATACGATACTCCAAGAAAAGCAGATAGACTGAATATTTAGTTGAAAATAGACTACTTATAATGTATCACTTTGTTTGAACTAAATATTATTAAAACGTAATCGTACATCTTTATTTAAAGTAACACAAATATAATTTATTAGCAATTAATTCTATCATTAATTTAAATTCCCTTTACTGTCTTACTCAGGTATTAATGTATTAAAATTTCAAACAAATTAAAATAATCAATCGTAAATTATATGAAAAATAAAAAAAACATAACTTACCTTAATTCTTAGAATATGAACCACTTTTAATGTATTACTAAACTATCCACAATAAGTATTGTCTTGAAACACACATTTCTTGTTGCGTACCCATCCATATAAATGTTAGTATCACGTAGATGTCGCGAGATCTCTCTGTCGTTGTTCGAACTGTACTGTTTATTGACGGCTGCTAATAAATACCTCGTTTATAACCAGTGTCGTATTACTTCAGACAGTTCTTTGTTATTTACACTTACTTATAGCGTGCCTCTTTATTTATCTAATTCGTACAAAACTGAAACAAATTAATTTGCTGCAATGTAGCACAATGATTCTCAAGTAGTTGAGCGGTCCACGGGAGATCCGTCAGGAGTGTCTAGCGAGAAATAAAGTTGAAGGTCCACAAATTTAAGAAAATATGCAGCAACCAGCAGGGGTTCAACGAAACTAATAATAAAAACAGTTTACGAGAAAAATGGTTTGCTAATTTGTTAGTTAGTAGGAGGATGAGTTTTATAAATTCCTATAAAAAAAAACAATTATGATATTATGAAAATCTGATGAAAACTTTTTTTACGTATTTCGTAAATATTAGCATCCTTATATTTATCTAGTCGCTGCCGCCTTAGAACTGACTATGTTTATTCGTTCAAAGGATGATAGGACGTACATACAAAATAATTTATGTCCTAATATGTAGCTCATTTCGTGTCCCGAGCGACGTAATTTTCCACTGCTACTACTTCGTGACTATATTGTAAACCATATATAAGTATGGGTACACAATATTATGAGATAAATTTTTTATGTCAATATTGCCAGCTACATTTACAATTACTAGGAAACTATAATAACAACTATTATAAACTAGCTAGTCCCCGTGGATATATAAAAAAACTTAATATATAGATAAGTTAAATAAAAAGCAGCTCTTCACGGCATAAATCTTAAAAAACGAATAAATAGTATCCTATGTCCGTCTCCTGGCTCTAAGCTACCTCCTTGCCGATTTTCAGGCATATCGGTAAAACCCTTCTTGAGACTTTCTTTTATAAATAATAGATATTACTAACATAAACTAAAATTATCCAAGTTTTATTACTGAGGTTTAAAAATCAATTAAGAATAATATTTACACATAAGTAAGCTTACTGTCTTTTTTTTGTCGCAAATAATGTAGATAGTGCCCAAACTGAAACACAAACAACAAGAATCATTCTCGAGTTGCTCGGTAATATAAAACACTGGATGTGGCATGGAGCATAATAATTACGCACATTTATTTTAATTAAGATAAAATAATTAAATTTACTTATTGAGTATTTTGCTAGGTTAGTTTTTTATTATGTTTTTATATCATCGCACCACCTTAGATGTGGCCAACCTTTTTTTGTTATCAAAGGAGAATGAATTAGTTATGATTTTTAGTAGTTACGACGCGCAGCAGTGAGTGACTTAATCACTCCGTACTCAAAGCTCTTCGTAGCTTCCAAGGTATTTTAGTGTGAGTAAATTTTTTTAATATTTTTTTTTAATCGTTACAAATAAGACACAATTAAGGAGAAAAAAAAAATTGGGTTGCATATTTCATTTATTTGCGTACAAGACTTAAGCCTATACTCAACTTGAGTTGAGCTATTCTGTTTTTTACAGAAACCTGTATTTCTTAATAAAAATATATATCATACAGATATGATTGTTATGTAAAAATATAAATGGATTTTGTTTTAAATAAATAATACAACAACTTGCCAAATAAACTTAAGATATTCGTTTTAAAAAATATGGCACCATTTTAAGTACATCTTAATTTCAAAGTAATTTCTTCGCAAGAAACGAAAAAAAATGTATTCCCTAATCACGTCTAGATTTCTTTATAATTAAAATCAACTGCACTGCACATTTCTTAAACAATTAAAAACACAAGCATCATTTGAATGGAATGCCAGTGACAGGTGGAAACCACAATTTATACATTTTTTAAACAAAAACAAAAAAAAAACAAATTTTTCCGCGCTAATTTTGAGCAATAACTTAAAAAAACTTATTATCACTAATACTTAAATCGATTAAAAAAACACAACTTTCACTAAACTTGACCTAAATGATAAAAGCAAAGACCTTTTATTAAATAATAGGAACATAATATCATGTTTTCATTAATTTCATACAAAATGTATTAACAAAGCGACATAGTTTTAGAGATTTAGCTTCAATACATTAAATATCATACAACATATATAAATGCTATATTATGTAGTTTTAACTATTCAAAGAACTTCTTACAGATGACATTGCAAACAATGCAATCCTGGACAACCATGTGTCGGTGATATGGCAGCTGCACTTCTTCAAAATCTGCAAATAAAATGCTACTAAAATTATAAATTAAAAAGGTTTAAAGTTCCAAGAAATACTGGAACTCTTATTTATTCTACTTATAATAACATATTAAAATGAAATGAAAAAAAAAAGCAGAAAAGTATTACTAAATCTAGATGTGTGTATATCAGCTCTGAACCAGCTCAAAAGTTCAATTCACAGAGTCTTGAACCATTGAGCTGTTACTCAACAACTATAGTAGCTATGTGAGGTGATGAGCTGTGAGCCAGCTGCAGATGCACAACAACCAATCAAGCAATTCATTAAAACAGAGCTATATATCTCATTCTGTCCGATGACTTGCAACTCACAGCAGGTACAAATTAAGCTGAGCTACGAATCAGTTCCCTGAACTGCATTATACATGCACTGTGAGAGTTGATCTGCAGATCATCATAGTTCAGTTACCGTAACTAGATAAATCAGTACATACATTCTATGTTACTTGATTAACTAAATCAAGTGGGATTATTATCAAGGAGAAAAGGCAAACAGAATCATCCACTTTAACACATACATCTCATAATTTCAATTACAAATAAAACATACCATCATTATCTTTGATTTTTTCATAAAACTCTTCAGTTGATTGTTGCATTCTTTCTTTAAGCTTACTTCTTTCCAAGTATTTCTTATAATATAACTCCGCCATAGATGATGGTTGATAATTATCACTTTTAGATTCAGACTTTGGACTATCATTATTATCTCTTATAGATAGCTCGGGAGACTTTTTCTTGAATGTAAAAGCACTGGCTTCTGTAATCAAACCTTTTACAGATATATCACATTTTTTATTTATCTCTGGTACTTCTAGACTAGATTCAGATTTTAAGACAAAATCTTCGGGTTTTAATAATTTAACTTGCTGTTCATTTTTATATTCAATTTCACTATCCTCAAGACTCATCACACTGCATTCATTAGTAATGCCCTCTAAAATTGATTCAATGGCCACATTTCTCTGCTTTTTCTTATTTAACAGCATTCCTATGTCATTATTATCTGTAGTAACATTTACATTGGCTTGCTTATTTTGTGTAATGCTGTTTGTAAATTTGCTTATTTCTATTACATCTCTGTCTTGTGAAATTTCTATGTCTGTATTTCCATCTTTTACCTAGAATAACATTCATTCAATAAGATTCAGAAATTACTTTTACATAAAATTAATATTTAAACATTAAATCACAAATCTAGTTAACCCTTAACTTAGGCTAGGCTCCGAGCACCCACAGTCAGAACATATAGTGAGATGATGATAATGAACTTCGCTTGAACTTCAATTGAAGAAGAAGGTCATACAATAATAATTGCTATATCCTACTATGTAAATGTTATGTACTTACCAGATGTAACATTTGATGTATTAACTTTAAATCTGGTCCACTCTGCAAGTCATTATCTTCACAACTGCCTTGGTCTTCTAATTCTTCTGAAAACCGGAAAATATTAAGTTAGTAAGAGTTAAACGAACATATAGTTATAGACATCCTTAATAATAAAAAGCAACTAAATGCACGAACAAGAACTTTTTTCTCTCAGTAACGAAATTTTAAAAGTTATCGCAAACTTTGCGAGTTAATAAAAAGGATTTTTATGTTTAGAATTTGGATTTACCTTCAAATACGTAATTTTCTGAAGTCTTTGTGTTAAGCACATTGTAAATTTTTAAAGGTTTATTTCTTTCTTGACCATTACATAGACCGTCAATTTTATTTTCTTCGGTCCAATGACAATCCATTGCACTATAAAAATAATAATTAGTAATATAAACAAAATATTGTTATATTTATTGTTGTTTCAATCATAATTTGACTCTGAAGTTGGTTGACGTCAGAATGACAGAAAACATTGACATTGTCCTAACGAATACAGATAGTTTAAAAATGGGTGCGGAAGCGTCGCTAAAATTATGCATATAAATATAATTGCTGATTTACCAAGCGTTAGTTGGATTTTATATTAAATGTTTGTATAAGCAATGTTTATCAAACTAATGACACTTCTTAGTAATATTTGGATGCATAGATGTTTGTTTATAGGTATCTTCAGAAGGGCTACATGGATCTTGCTAAAATTTGGCATAAATGTAGAACATAGCCTGGTACAACTCATAGGCTACTAATTTTCTTTTTTTAATAAGAGAGAGATGAAATTAAGCGGGCGACAGCCAGCCATTCATAAAAAAGGATTGTAATCTAGAAGTTCAAGCGCCAGCGAAGCTATAACACCAATAGCATTTTCCTTGTAACGGATTGCCAAAAGTAGAAACGGAAAGTTTAAACATGGCAAAATTGATTTACAGCGCTAAAACGAAGAAACAAATTCTACAAAAAGATCTAAGCGCCTTGTAATACCGTGGGTGGAATCTGTAATATCTCTCCTTCCTGGTATAAAAATGGAATTAGATTCAAACAGGCGACAGGCGCGGCAGGTCCTAATGGAACGGTCAAGTATGAATTTATACCAAATGATGTTGAAGAACAGCATTTGAGTATAAGGGTAGCTTATTCATTATTACGAGAAGCAAAATATTTAGTTACTTACATTTAATTAAACACATTTTATTTAAAATTATTTATTCAATTCAGACTTAATAGACATTTGTTATTCCCGCAAGACAATATGAAAAATAAGTGAAACATTTTATACCTCATTCATATTGTTTTCCATCGTCATGACCTAATTACACTATCCCTTGCACATTTAGTTTAATTGCTAGAGCACCATTTGCTTACTTACTCTTGTCTAGAAAATAATATATTTACATTAAAAATATGAAAGACTATACCCTTAAAAACTACTTGTATAGAGTACCTACAAATTATATGTATTTGTAACAGAAAATTTGACTTGACATCATTGAAAAATGTTGAAGTCCTTTATTGGTACTCTTATATTACATTTTTTGTCTTCTAAAGACAATAAAATAGTCATTAATAATCAAGTATATTTTAATCTATAGCATCCCATGCATATTTACTTTGGTCAAATTTCTTTTGACATCCTTAAAATATAAAGTATTGAGTAAATTTATCTACTGTAATATTCAAATCTATTAATGTTGTTAAGATTTTAGACAAATTTGAAAACTTGTAAAACTGTAAGTTTGAATGGGGCCAATTTCCAGGTTAGTTATTACATACAAAGTATGGACGGTAAATAAAATATAAAATAGTTGTCATAATCTGTATTACCCCAGGGACTAAAGATATGCACATATGCATATGGAAATGTTGTCACAATTGGGAATAAGTCAATTTTGCATATCTTAAGTGTATTCCTTATTATATTTATAAAATAAATATAATCTTTGCAAATTTCACATTACCCATTGATGCCTTTACATCTAAATAATACTTATGCATACTAATTTTAAGCTCTTTGTTCTTCATTACATAAGATTGAGCTATAAACAGTTGACTCTTCCCAAATGCTAACATATAGTAAAATCAAAAAGTAATAGGAAAATTCCTTAAAAAAATAACTAATTTTCTTAAATAAAATTGACTACTTTATCAAGAATACATCACAAGGTAAAATTGTCGTTGGTAGCTACATAATAGACTAATTAAATTGGTCTTGATGTTATTTTCTAATTTATGTCTTTCATATAGTATTTATTATTTTATCTTTAAAAACGGTCATGTGTAAGGGAGTATAAGATAATGGAATATGCTGACTGTAACTTACTGTTGTATATTTTACATGACTAGTTGGCATGTTGATGTCTGCGACGTCCACGACTCTTTGTAGTAGATTGCGTGGCTTGCAGATTCCGTCGCCTAATATCTTCGTCTTTAGCTTTCAGATCTCTCTTGAGCCGAGACCACATATCGAGGCTCTGCTCCTCCTTTGCTTTTACCCGCATCTTGTATGTCTCGGTCAGTTTCTCGGCGTACTCTGTAGGTACATATGACGGAGAGTCACTTGAAGTTTTCTCCGAAACTTCAGAGGTTGGAGTTATTGGTTTAACATTTTCCTTCTTTTTAAATGTAACCGGACCCAAGAACAAAGCTTTGGTGAGGGTTTTTGGTTTTTCATTCATATTTAACCAACTTTTCACTTTTGCAACTGAGTTATCGACTTCTTGTTTCATATTTCTATCTTCTCTTGTTTCACACTCGTTTACAATTTCGTTCGCTAGATTTGATGATGTTGGTAAAACATCTTTGACTTTTGTGTTTTCTACATAAGGCATCTCAAAATGTTGTGGTGTGAGTAGTTTAGGTTGTTTTTCATCAATACCACAGGTTTCCGGAGGATCTGAATAAAGCTTCAAGAGTGATGCAATTGCAATATTTCTTTCGCTTTTCATTTTGATACAAACATTTTCATTAGTTGGACTAATTATTTTGTTTTTTAACCGCTCACTGATTTCTTTAATATCCTCACTGGTATTAGATGATGTTTCCACTTTTTTTATTCCATTTTTATTACTTGTTTCAACCTTTTCTGGTTGTTGGTCATTAGATTTCTTCGGAATAAATTCTGGTACAACAGGATTAAGTTTTGATATAGATATAACTGTATTGTTGTTATCCTGTTGTGTGCATTTATTTTCTTTACACTCACTCTCATCAAAGTCGTCAACCTGGAATGAAGGTTTTGACATTGGTAAACATGTAACAATGAGTGGCGGCCGCGGACGGGCCCACGCAGCGTAGGTAGGCCTCCCGCACGATGGACCGATGACGCGGTCAAGGTTGCGGGAGTGCACTGGATGCGGGCGGCACAGGACCAGGTATTGTGGCAATCAATGGGGGAGGCCTACATCCAGCAGTGGACTAGTTTAGGCTGAGTATAATGATGATAAACATGTAATTGTATGCCAGTAAAATGATTCATGGAAAACTAAGTAAATTGATGATGAGCAACATTTCAGAACACACTTATTCTATTCAGACATAGATCTATACAGACCACCTCATAAATATATGACTTAAAATATATGCTGTTTTTACTATACCATTCGTAACATTTCCGTTATTCCGGCCAAATCAGGTGCACCTTCCCTGTCATCTTGTGCAAGTCCTTGCTTTAATCTTAACAATAATTCATCATCATCTGCAACAAGTTATGTTTACAAATACATTTAAAAGAGTTAAAACTAAGCCTATGATTAGATGTATCAATAATATTAATGTATATTTTTAACAATAAAAGCACAAAAAATAAATAATAATAGCAACACTGTCTTCATTGTTCTATTTACATCAGAAACTATAAAAGTAGTTTATTGTAAGAATATAATAAGTCTTTTGTATGCATGAGCGTACAAAGCATTTTGTTATCACTGGTATTAACCAGCAACAGTAGCAACAAAATGCTTATATGAATATAAAGTACTGGCAGTATTGCTTGGTCAATATTCTTCAGACAATATAAATTTGTCACACCAATTGGCCTTATTTTGTGCGTTTTTTAATTTTCTACTTCGATTTCGTTGGACTATACGTAGACGTTATTCGGCTGATGCAAATGATAAAGATTGAAATAATGCCTCCTTTGTTTTTATATGGGTCAAAGATTTAAAGTACTAAACAACGCCCATGACACACAATGTGTATCACACATTAATTTAGAAGAAATATGACATGTACCTTCGGTCGTCGTGCAAATAGGCGGCGGTTGCTCACCAACCACTATATGCTGTTCGTCAATATCTTTGAGCTTGCCTCCCATCGCTTGAGCAAGGTCTTTAAGTACGTCTTTCTTGGAATACCAACTCATTTTGACCCGTTAACTTGCCTTTTACTGAGAAAAAAAATCATATGCAAAATACAACACAAGGCTAAACTTTAGATTGGGAATAAGCAAGTTGGCGGATGGAACACAATTATATTAATATAACAATTAAAATTATACTAAAATCAAATAAAAGATAAAAGTAAGCAACAATTTTTTTTGAAATTTAGAAAAACGTCACTACACGTACACATCAGGATTCAAAATTTCATGTTTTTGGTGGTGTGTAAAACACAGGGGGTGGAAACTTAGAAGAAGGACGGTTTGTATGGAAAGTGGCGCCACCTTTTATATAATGGTAAACATCATTTCATCTCATGGCTGAGAAGAAGCATCATTTCTGTCATCGAGACATTCATGTGTCATCAAACCGCTACGTTTTTTCGTATTTCTATTTCTGTTCTTGTATTCTTAGTTAAATGTTTCATTCATTTTGTTTTTAATTAAAATGTGTTTTCGTGAAAAACGACGCTGTATGCAACTGTGTTTTAAATGGACTGATTATGGTAAGTTACAATTCAATAAAAATTTTCATGTTATTCCCATACGTCAGACTCATTTAAACATTTAAATATTTTCGTATTTTGCTGTAGTTTTTAGCACCACAGTGATTTATACTTTCCGGTTATCATATTGAATGGTGCCCTACTTCTAATACATTTTACATATCAGTTCCTATACTTGACAGGAAATCACATTCTGTTTGTTTGTTGTAGGTGCACATATACACGGTTTCCCCCTTCCTGAGAGAAGGTCAGTGAAGTTCAGAAAATGTGTGCCAATCACTGGAATTATAGAGCCATAAACTGATGTGTCTGAAATTAGTAGGTGGGTCCATGTGTGTATATGTAAAAAATATATTTTTTTTATTTGTAATTTTTTATTGTAAAGAAAAATCTGCTTGCCTATGTTGTAAGAGAATATGTTCAGAGTGTTTAAACTCGCAAATAACTACAAATTGCCAGTTGCCAGCTTGTATGTGACTGAAAATATTTTGGGGGTTGGTTTTAATTACAGGGTATGCATTTTTTTGTGACCGCGCTATACTATTTATTACCGTAAATGTAATTTTCAAATATATATATTAAATATTAAAATATTGAGCTGATATCTTGAAAGTCATTGATGTATATGTACTTGCATAGATTTAAACTAAGTTATGTAGAAATATAATAAATAATGTACAAAAATATAAAAATATTTTGTTTTTTATTTCCCCAATAATAATAGGATCATTTTAATAGAGGTATTTCATAGAAGGCTACTTGATATCGGCTCACTATAATAATAACTGATAAGTGGGAATCTAATTTATGAAATTAAAATTGACATTAAATCAATGTTCAAAAATAATACACCCAGTATTATTTTTGAACATTGATTTAATGTCAATTTTAATTTCATAAATTAGATTCCCACTTATCAGTTATTATTATAGTGAGCTTAATAAGCGTGCCTACGTATATAGATACCAAAAAAAAAAAAAAAATTAGTTCA